ACCTCTCAGGTGATGTCACTCACTATGAATGATCTTAAAGGCAGATGGTACGATAAATGGGACTATAGCCGAAACCAAACGGGATTGTTCAGAGGTGTTCCCGACAGGAGGCCCGCGCGACAACAAGGCAGAGTCAGCGGACGAGTCGCAGCGCGTACTGTAGTGATTTCGCGTCAAGTTAAATAGAATGTACCATTGTACGTCCTACATCGCACATCACGCGCTGCGACTCGTCCGCTGACTCTGCCTTCTTGCCGCGCGACGGGCCTCCTGTCGGGTACCCTCATTAGAAGGATGGGTAAAGCCTTAACTATGCTGCCACGGGCGTGCCATTCGCCGCGAAGTGCTGCGTCTCGTTCCCTTAGGAGTCCTAGACTACCTTACAATGGATGTATTTGTCGTCCTGGAACATTTAATTTATCGTACCATCTCCCTTCAGAAGAAGCTGGTGGGCAAGAATGAATCCTTTGCAGAAGGCCCGCTGGATGATTTTCTGACTAAACACCGTGGTAACTTGAAACGCGACGAGTTACTGCAGATGTCCATGAGCGCCGGTTGGGGTTTGGACTTTTTGCACACGGCTGGCATTATTCATCGGGATTTAGCAGCAAGGAACTGTTTCTACGACAAGCAACTGGTAGGCATTTATATCCTGTGCGAAGAGAATTGTAGCATGATCTTGCCACTGCCAGGAGGCAGAACTTCTTGAATTGCTTCAATATTAAGGTCAAGATCAGCGGATTCGGTCTTGCAAGAAAGACAGATGCCTACGTTCAGAAATCGATGAGACGCATGATGATTAAGTGGATGGCTCCCGAGACAGTAGCTGCATTTCGATTCTCTAAGAAATCTGACGTATACATGTACGGGGTGAGTAGTCCGGGTGGGAGCGCAAAGGTTCAGACGTGATTTCTTTGAGGGCATTACATGTGGAATGAGTACGTGATATTTTTTGGATACGGTAGGCACGAAATGGTCATGAGAATCGATGGATTTCGTGAGCTAGGGGAGTTAAATACAATTCAATGAGTGGTGGGGTGAATCACGGTTCGAGGAATTCCTCTAACCATGGTCATACTGTGCGAGAGTAGTGTCGGAAGTGATGAACACCGGAGTGCAGCAGACGGCTCGGCGGTGTCGAGAGTGAAATCGCGCGGAGGTGGTGTTAAAAGGCGAAATCCTGTCGGACGAGTCGTTGCCATGTTCCCGACAATGTTTTACACCCTGGGTGGTGGGGGGGGAAGTAGAGCAGCATTTCAACGATGTGCCCCCATGTGCATAAATTTCGCGCCCACCGTATCTAAAAAATCGGGGTATCCATCCCACTAGTCTTGAACTCCTTTTTCCAACCAAATTCCTTTCAACTTGCACTGGTTACCTGCAATAACCCAATCGTTCGGAAAGCAACGTCCGAATCGCCATTTAGGTCCTCTATCTATGCAATATTTTCACAACGCGAACCTTACGACAGGATGTCGAATCAGAAGCAAAAGGAACCTCTTGTGAGTATTAACCCAACTAATCTCAAGGTGAGGCCATTATAGGCGTAAAGACAGCAATAAATTGCCTGCTTTCGCGATGAGGCTTCACTTCAAGCAAAGAAGACCTTATTCAGATCCTAGGAGGACGCGTTAATGAGTTCCCCGCGAAGACTCCGAAGTTGCTAGCAAAATTCGTCATGGAGAAGCTGTGGCATCATCGATCCCGATAAGCGACCAAGTATAGAGAACGTAAGTGCGGTGAAATCGCCATTTCAAAGGAGCGCAAAAGCAGGGTCAACGATCCCCTCGTTGGTAATTTCTCAACAAAAAGGGTGTCGCAATTGTAATTTTTAGAACAGGGGCTGTATTTGGGGCCTGAAGAGGCAGCTGCTACTCAGAGAGATAAACTTGTAAATTGAGGAGAGACTAAAAATGTGTAGGGAAATGTGTAATAGATGTGTGCAATTCGCCCTTTCAATATTTGCGTAAACCTCAAAATCAACAGTTTTTCGGAAAGGTACTGGGGGCGGAGCTTAGGTGTGCCATGTGGTGCGAGAAATGCAGAATACTTTGGAGCATGAAGTGAGGAAAAGCTATAATGGTGAAGGAGGTGTATGGGGCCTCAAGTGGACACGTTCTTCAGATTTCTGCTGCTGTCACAATTGACCGTGGATGAGAGCCTGACCGCGCGAATTTCAGGCGCTTCAGTGGTTGTCTAAATACAGCTAGGCTAACAACACAGTGGCGACGTTGCCCAACGGTAAGCAGTCGAATCTTTAAGATTTTTCAATAAACAGGTCTCTAGATTTGGGTCCACGTCTCATGTGCGTGAATAAAACCCCATGAAGCGCCATTCTGTCAAGTTGTCAGGGAGCTTTTGTGATCCTGTGCATTACCCTACCCTACAATCACGACCACTTTTACCCACAGTCGGTTTTTGACCGAGAACCCAGAAAGTCGTGTCCAATGGTGAACCGGGCGTAAGGATTCGGTTCTATTTAGGACAAGGGACACAGAAGATGTGAAAGTCAATCACTCTTTGTGGGAATAGCATGTCTTTCAGAAACCCAAGAGTCCTACCCAACACGCCGATAACTCTACGAAATGGGCGTGTCGCTGCCATTTCGTACGAGTTATCCTGCGCCCAACTGCGACATAATGTCTATCTGGCTCGGAACAAGAGCCCCAAGTGTCTCATTGTACTGGCCTTTACTTTGATGTATTCCCACCAACTGTATCTCATTTTAGAGTCTTCCGATAGTCCATCAATACTTCGCAGCTCCTGTGCTCAAAGATGCAGACTACAAGGAGGAAGGGAAAACTGCACCATTAGCCAGCAAAATCCGAACACTTCCGATGAAGAAGGGCACTGCTCAGGTCCGAAGCCCGACTTCTCCTCGCGTAGCTACACCAAATTCTAGAACTCCGAGAGGGCGTAGTGAGAGAGCTCTTGGAAACAGTGCGAGACGTGTTGTTCGCGAAGACAAGGCACGACCATCACCCACTAAAACTACAATAAAGGTGGAACCCAGTGCTGTTGACCGTAACAAGGAGCGCGTTGCTCGAGTATTTCCAGAGCTACCACCACGAAAATTGGAGGAATCACCACGGCCGCAAGCAAAGAAGCCAGAGTATGAGAACTTGGTAGCATTTGGGGCCGCAGTTGCATATGCTGCACAGAAAGCCGGCAAAAAAGCACCTGTCCAGCAGAAGGCCGTGCAAGTGGAGGAGGATGAGCCTGCATCAATGAGGCCTAAATCTCCCCCACGAACCATCGAACAGAAGATAGAGAAATCTGCTGATGTAAAAGATGCGGCAACCAAGTCAGTTATGAAACAAGAAGATGCACCCGCTAGCCCTGAAGAATCACCTGTGCAAAAGAAAACGGAAGAGCCTCTGGCAGTGCAAAAGAAAGCTGCAGATCGTGCGGAAGTTAACGATGGTACTGTTGAAGTTGTGCTAGATGGAAAGAAAAACCTTGTGGAAGAACCAAATTCTGAAAGGAAGCCGTCTCCGAACGAAGAGCCTAAGCAAAAGAAAAAAGCGCCCGGTGATGAACCCACGTCGCCCGATCCAAACAAGGAAGATGAGTAGTAGACCGCTGCTTTAAAAATATTAAATAGTCAATCCATGTAGTATTGTTGTTCATTCTATTTGTAGCAGGTACGCTAAAAATGTCAACTATCCGCGAATTGGAGCCGTTTTTTCTAACCGAGTCTGCCAAGCGCGCAGCCCCTGGAAAGCGAGGATTGCGCAGTAAATCGCTTCTCTGGTTCTAGAAGTGTAGAGCATTTCGAACGCCAATGCGTTTAAGCCAGAGTCTGTTAAAAGGCAAAAGTCGGGCTCAATAAGGGGGTATTATGGCGATTGAAACTGAGTATAGAGATGCGAAGTGGAACGACAGTGGAGAAAAAACTGAGAAAAACCGTCGACAAGGCCGTTAACAAAACCCTCTTTCCCCACTAGCAGTGATACAGGCGGCGATTGCATAGTACGTGCGCTGGGGTCTTATTAAATCCGCCGCTCCATTCCGAGAATTTTGAAAGTGGAAACACTCTGTAGGTTGCGTACCAGGTGCAGACATGACGAAAGGGTTGGTTTGGTCACAATGCCCCCCTGACCTTGCCTTCAACACTACTATATTTAGCTCTCACACCAGTCTATTACACTAATTTCAGCACATACAGATAGGTCAAACCGCGCAAACCCCCTCCCAAGACTCGAAACAGCAGAATATCGATTTAAGAAGTTTTGCACACCGACAACACTCACGCATACAAACGAGCCGCGCTCACAAGCAAATTCCGCCCCCCCCCGCACAATCCCGCCACTATCCCAAACTCTCAACCATTGGTGATGTAAGTGTCAGGCAATGCGAACCACTAATGTCTCTCGCGACACAATGGACCCTCACTCTTCCCTCCAGAGTACACTTTTTCTCATTACACTACATCAGGAATGAATTAAAGGCAACTTGCCTGGGCGTGTTTCAGACCCCATGTTGGTAACAAGTAATAATTGTTTCCACCGCTCTATGTACCTCCGCTCATACAACATTATTTTCGTTTAATTCAATCATACCAAATCTCAACACACGTTACCAAGAACTAACTCCTTATTTTCAGGTAGATATCCAATTGAAACAATTCGACATTACTTACAAAGAAAAATAGAAAAATAGGACAAGGCTTTTGTTGTTATTTTGAACGAAATCGAATAAAGTGACTATTTATAACAATTACCCAATGAAAAGTGAATCATTACCAACCCACTCCTATGATCTCTTGGGTCACACAGGGGTTGCATCTCGCCAGGCACCCTCCACCGAACGAAACCATCGCTAGAAAACTGAAAACAGCAGAACCAGGCGGTCAAAACAGATCAATGCTCCGTTCACCGTTTATGGACAACCAATCGGAGAATCGATCAACTGCACTACAGCATTTGTCACAAATTGCCCGCATATTTTCAGAACGCTTCTGAAAAGTATTTCCATGATTCGGCTCTATACAAGCGGGGTGGGCATGCCCAGCTTTTCACGCACCCCCACCCCCTAGATTGGCTACACTGCCCCCGGCTCACGAATTCCCCGATTCTCGTGACATTATATGTAGTAGCCGCAGCAGTCCCATTTACATACATGTTCAAAAGATGCGGCCTGCCCACCCTACTTGTATAGCACCCACGATTCATCCAAAGACGTGAAGGATCAAGTATCACACCGCTCCCCGCTAACTTCCTCTGATGAAGTCACCATTCGGATCCCAACAAAAATGAAATTCTGGTTGATTTTTCCTGCTGCCCTTGTGCAAGATTATCACTGGTACCCACAGCCCCCCTCTCCCTCTCTTGTCCGCCATTCTGTGTTTTGTTCTCATCCGTTATCTCTCTACATCATAGATATGACCGACAACATAACAATATCTAGAGGCATCAATTGGACGATAAAGAAGGTTCATATCCTAAGCCCACTATTGGCGAAAGAAAGGCAGCCACTCTATTCTTCTGTCTGCTTTCGTTTATGCCATAAGAACCTCCACTAATACACTGACGGCTGATGGAAGTGAGGAAAATGTGACCACAACAAGCTCACTTCAGCACGCACCAGTCCAGCGAGCTACGCCAAATTCAACTCACATAGTCATATACAGGTACCGCCAAATCTACGTATTAATCTCTCACAGCGGTATTGCGTATGGGTCCCAGATCCAGAACGAAAAAAAAAAAACGGAAATCCTGCCGAACTCCGACTACCAGCCTTCCAATTCTTAAGCGACAATGTCACCAAATGCATAAGACTATATAGACAATTCTTTCCCGACATAACTTCAATTATATACAACCAGAACTTTGGTTGTTCGTTCTGTCGCATACCCAGACCCCCCCGCTCGACAAAACACAGGGCGTACGAAGGCAACAAACACTTAGATCGGACCATGCTATGATAACATATGATCATATAAACGCCACAGCGGCCTATATAACTCGATCGGCACACTCATCTCGTCTACACACCTGTGCTGCCGTGCAGAAGGTGAGCGAGAAGGATGTCACCAACAAGGGGCGGGAGGGTACAGGGAAGCGGCAACACACGCATAAAGTAAGGCTGAAGAAGGGGAGGTGAGGAGAAAGGGGGAGAGGAAAAGGAGGGAATTGCCGCCGGGAGAAATGGTAATAAGGAGGATCGTAATCATCTACATAAGTGAGGTGGGTTATGGAGCACGTCATGCTCCTATCCGTGGTTCCTCCCCTACCTAGATAATAGCGCCGCGATAACAGACAAACGCTGGTTACAAATATTCTACGCAAAAAGCACCTCGCCTTTCATTCTTTTTGTAGATGCGCGCATCACCTTACGGTGGCTATGACCACATTTCGCGAGCTAATGATTCTTCGCCCAATGGGTCGCATAAGAGGGCTACGGTGTGAAAGGCTGTTTCGGCCACATGACGGCCTATTTCTTTCATTACAATCAGCGTAATGGTACAAATTCTGGACCCTTTTTACGGCTCTGGAGTGGAAATTCATGAGTTTTTGAGCTCCTTCCGAAATTTTGTCATGGTTTGACGAGACGACGATTTTCACTGGTTTGAAGCCCAACACATCATACATATCGGACACACTACAACTAGCAAAGAACTCATCGCACACAACGCAATCCGCTGAAGGGTATTCATAACGGTGAAATCGCAGTTCTGGAGGGTAAAGGGCACTCCATTGGCTACCCACACTTCATCCACGAGACTCAAAATGACCTTAGTACTAGAGAGCAGTTCTTTGGGCTATCGAACACTACGGATAAGATAATAAGTGAACGACTCATTTCGAGCGTACTTTTGATAAGGACCGGTGGATGTCCTACATTCCACACTACCTGCCCACATCCCATCCACTTTTCTGCACAGGTGATCCACCCTGGAGCTCCTGCACCCTTAGCCCTTTGCGGAGGTGTCCTTTCTCCTGGTCCAGGACCGTTCCCTTGGTCATGGCAGGCGGAAATGTGAAAACGTTTCAGGGTTTCTCACCCATTACACCAATATTTATCAGAAGTCTACTTTAAATGAGTCGATTACGTGTCGTGAGCCCTCTAATCCTTATCTTGAGTATTGGAGAAAAAATGGAGTGGCCCCCCGAACTGGAGTTTCACCATAAATTCTCCTCTTTCCGGGTACGTTCAGCACGGAGTGCATACTGGAAACAACAAAAATCGCATGATTGACAATGTGTCAAAAAAGTACACGGTTTCTGGGAAATTAGACTAGAGAGCAAAAATCTTTTATTTTTAAATATGGTGTTTCAAATTTGAAAAAGCCTAAAGGTACACTTTAAAACCTAAACAAAACTCACAATTGTCAGAAAGCATTACACGAAATGGAGTTTAACCGAATACAGGTCAGGACACAAAAGCGAAAAAAGTATGACAATTTCTTTCGTACCGGAAAAAAAATCGGTCTGCACTTGTCTGCGGGAATTTTATACGTCTCGAATAACAAATCATCCTGATAATAGGAAAATTTTCGAAAAAAAAAGATAATAAATCTTTGAATGGAAATTCTTTCAAAGCTGGCGAACAACGTGTCACAGTAAAAGTTGGAACTTTACTCCCAACGACCAATTACCAGCCTTACTCCTTAGAACGGTCTATGACTGTGACTACAGTCGAGTGAATGTTGTGACGATGTCTAAGCTTGGTTAACTTGCAACCCTCTGTCCAAGAAAGCTCCGCAAGCAACCTGACGTTCATCTATCAAATTGGCTTCGTTTCAGCCCTGTACTGTGGGCGCACACTTCATTATCTCCAGCTCCATGTGCTCTACGAACTAAAAAAAAACTTATTTCAAGCAGCAGGACTTCGTTTGCACACGTTCTGCTGGGACAGAACGGGAACCCCTGACCCGTGAGGTGCACTCTATCCCCGAATGGCAGTCGGAAGATGGCCAACGTGCTCGCCAGCGTTGCGAGAACCCTCACAAATAACAACAACAAAGATACTACCTCGTTCTATTATGGCCCGACTGTAATAATTCGCAGCAAGTTCACGGAGAGAATAAAACGGGATTATATATGAGATTATATGACCGGGGAAAGAGAAGTGCATTCACCACACCAACATGGGGCGTAATTTCACAGAACAACACATGTTGTGATCAAAGTGAGACATATGCCATCAAATGAGTTCGTAACTCAGCAGGAATGCAAGATTCGACGGCCGAATTCGCTGCCGGGCCGCGTTGAAGGACGGCCCGTGCTAGATAGTCTAAATGCAAGCATTTCTGATGTTATCAATCCTATTTGATGAATAAAGACTGGAAATTTTGAATACTCGCTAATGTGAAAAGTTTTCTAAGAAATCGATTGGTACTCACTTTTGAAGTTTGTAATTTCTGGGGCAAGAGGATCCGCCCGAGGAGCGTAGCTTAGGCGGCAGTATGGATTCGTGAACTCTCCTTCAGCATTGTACATCGATGCCTGCATTTGAAAGACTAAGCAAAGATCGCTGATAGCGGAAAAAGCGAAAAAGAAAGAAAATATGTACACAATGCTATCTAAGATCAGGCAGAAGTTGACAAATATGTACAAAAACTCCTCCTGACGATCCGCCGACAAAGCAATGTGGTGTCTGGCAGAAGCGTGTGAGGACCGCGACTTTTCCCTAAGCTCCCCTGTCTGCCTTTTAACGGGAAGCCTCACCAGTGGGCTCTGTTAACCAGCCTTGGCAATTAGTTGAATTATTTTTACATCTAAACTGAGTGGGAAATGCCAGGAATAAATTGAAATCAAACTTAGCACCTTTCATCAAAGACCTGCGTCCAGTCCTACTGCATTTTGCGGCTCTGTAGTGATCTATGTAATGTCTTGTACGTCTCAATCTATTGGCCTTATATCTCAACTGATTCTCATCATCCACTTCTCTGCATTAAAGTGTCGTTTACCACCTGTTCTAATGAACTTTGAAGCTGTTTTAAGAACGATCTGACGATTCAGCAGTTTCTACAGCGCGCGCTCACTTACTGAAGAACAAGCAGTGGAGGTAAAGAATAGAGGTGCTTACTTGCTCCTCTTCCGGAGAAAGAACAGGCCGATCACTTGCTGATGGGGCTTCGATTAGTTGAGCTGTTCCGATCGCCAACGGGCCGTATTGGTCGCTAAAACGATAACAATTTTCAAACAGAAGAGGTAATAACAATACATAATAGATATTTATTACTTTTTAAATATTTATCTTGGTGTGTCACTCCATCGGTATGTTTATACGAAGCCGGTCAGTAAGTCTGCATGTCTGTCCGTCCGGAAAATGAAGTGACAAGGCAGCTTACGAAGGGAGCCAACTGCTTACAATACTGGGGAGCGGGCTGGTATTGCGGTATCAATGTTTCGTGATGATATGTGGGTGTCAACTGCTATATGAGCACCCATTGGGCGTACTGCCAGCCATTCCCGATGGAGCTGCAATGGAAGCTGTAGGGGAAGAAGGAGAGAGAGAGTGAGAGAGGTGAAGGCGAGGGGGGAGGCAGGGCAGGGGAGTTAAAGAAGATAGAAAGAAAACTAAATCGCCATTGAGTCTCCGTCCAAATTCGGAGCGTTTTATATGATATTTATTTATTTATTTATTTATTAGACGACACATAAGGCAGTCGTAGGAAACAATACAACGATCTTCCCTTGAATATAACCTAGTCATAGCTCAACAAATCTTTACTAGCCAGGCGCTTGAAAAGCACAACAGAGGGAGTGATATTGTTTTTGTTTATTATTAGTTACGTTGCGTGAAGGCAAACGTTAGAAAAGAATACAACACACAGTGAGGAAAATGATGGGTCAATGCAATTATGGAGATTGGATTTCAGGTGGATTTCAAATACCTAGGACTTAGACTTAGAGACTTGTAACTTGAAGTTTAGTAGAAATCTGTCTCTTGAACTTTTTCAATGTATTGGGAATAGCAATATTTTTGTCATCTTTATATATGAGCTAGCAGCTCTAAAGCTCTAGTAGCTCTATCACTCTGACGTGGAGCCACAATTGTGAAAAGACCCACTACTGCCATAAGACACTTTCTTCCACTCATCCCTAAAAAGAGGTGACTTCTAAAATGGAAGTGAGCACCGCGGAAGGTATAAAGCCCAAGCACGCAAAGGCCGCTAACTGCCGGGGCACAAACTCGTATTAATATAAAGGGGGCCACAGTAAGCACAAGAAAATAAAAGCAAAAAAAATCAGAAAAATCATACCAGGGAACAAAGCTTACCCAACGTAGTTAGTTGCATCGGCCAACATATTCGCGACACCAATCGCTATTATTCGCTTATCGTCCAGCGTTGTCATATTGTGCAGACTCGGTAATTCAGCAACTACAACCTTCTCCAACAGCATACGAAACATGCCTGTTTGGATAGCTTCCACAGACTGAAAATGTTCACAATTTTTATTTGATAATTCCATTTCTACACAGTAAGAATCCTACGGGACCTTACGCTAATTTCCTGACAATTCTAACTAGTTGTTAAATGGCCGGCCACCCATGCGAGGCACCAATATATGTATGGAATAATGGATATAGAAAATGGAAATTCCGCTGAATTCAGTGAATATGTTTGGTGACTTGGTCATGTTTCCCAACATACTTAACCCTGAGTCAAAGAGCCATTCAATTATGTCCTTCACGTGTCATATAGCGGCGGCAGACGAACCACAAATAGGATGTCTCACTAGCTATTGATAACTGGCTTTGTTAACGGACTAGACAACAAAAAACAGATTTTT